TACGCCCTGTGTGAACAAAGCTTGGCAAACAGGTTTTTTACCGTTGATCCAGCAAACACCCGGCGGGGACATAGTAAGAAAATTTTCAAGCTCAGGGTACACACATTCATTAGACAAAACTTTTTTCATTTCGAGTAGTAGCTGCGTGGAATGACCTTCCTCCGACGGTTGTACACGCTCCTTCTCGAACCCAATTTAAAGCACTATTAGGCATTTACTTATGCGACTCCTCGCGCTGGCAAGCATACTGCCCCGCGCTGGGAACATAAAGAGCAATGCTACACCCTTTTTTCACTTGTGCCTTTCAGGTGAACGACAGCCACTGACCGACAAGAACAAAACCGACCCGGGAATCTTGGGCAAATGCCTCGATCCTGTGTATCAATCCGGGAATCTGTGACTCCGTGACCTTGGGAGCAATTGCGTTCAGTATGACCTAGCAGAGAGCGCGCCGGTTGAACCGGCGGTTTACCTGTGATGGCTTCCCCTGTGTCACGACAAGGATACTACTGTCATAGCTGCCAGGCAGAAGTGGACGCTAATTTGCAAGTAAATGCCAATAAAAACGATTAATATTGTAGGATTTCACTTGCTCTAATTGTCACTCAGGCTTCATCGAAGAGCTAGGATCGAGGTGCGCTATTTTTAGCCCTTACACAATTGCATTTCTCTCACTGTAGGTCTGAAAACAGTACTTCCCTCCCCGAGGCAAGAATAATGTCCGTTACAGTTTAACAGTATTTAGAATACCTTCGATCCTTTCCAGCTCTGGCAGAGCATCATAGGTGGATTTTCGCCGCGTACATCGGCAGGTATCAGCAGCGAACCCGAAGATGAAGATGAACTCATGGAGGAGGCTTTTGAGCAAAGCCGTCCCCGCAGAAGCAGTCGGAGGTCCGGTGGTGGACGTCAGAGCTGGGGTCCTGAACGTCTTACTTTCCGGCTTCAGGGTCAACCTGGATTAGGTTCCACTAGAGTTCGTCTTACCACCCTAGATAACCCGCTTTTAATACATTTCCTGTCGGGTTTGGATTCCATACAAGGGGATATACGTGACTACGCGCTGAATCAAGGTAAGTCTTCCGTCATATCCATTGCGCGCTTTGTTTTACTTCCAATAGTAACATGATATGGTTCTTAGATCGTGTGAATAGATGCTTCAGGTCCAGAGCCATCAATCTGGAAAAGTGCCAGATGGATGTTTATAACGCAGCCCCGTAAGTTATCCGTTGGGTTGCTTAATCGAACGTGATCAAAGATGGAGAGGGAGCAAGTTCTGGCGTGCGATCCGGGCTCATCTAACACGGAGGGAGGAGTGCTTCGGTTATCGTTCGAGGTGGATTTTGGCATCCAAACTGTCGGTCGTAACCCTATAGACAGGTTCTGTACACCAGGGTTGGTAACGAGTGACATCGTTAGTTGGTTGGAAATTTGTAGGTTATATCACCGGGATAAGTTTAACGGCCACCCGTCTGAAGTACGTCTAATTCCCCATCGTGCTGGAGCTAGGCGCTTCTCCGTCGCAGAAGTTACGCTGGTGTGATGTTTTGCATGCCTCAGCAACCCACTGAGCTGTACTGAGGGATGCCCATTCAGCGTCAACAGGGTCTCTACTACTAGACCAGACTGACAAGCAGTGCATCCTGAACCTCCAGTATGATTTTGAGGATTGTGCTACTTCGTTTCTTAAAATTCGGCGTATTCGAATAGTCCAAACGGCGACCATTGCCTCACGGTCAGACTTTCGAGCCAAAAGCTTTGGTTGACGACCCTGTAGTGGTTAACGGCCCTATGGAGCGAATAGTCCGGCGACCATTGCCTCACGGTCAGACTTTCGAGCCAAAAGCTTTGGTTGACGACCCTGTAGTGGTTAACGGCCCTATGGAGGGAGTCGTGAACTGAAAAAATTACTGATGTAAGCCAGATACAAAGTCACAAAGAGAAAAATACAAGTAAATGTTTGCTCACAGTTCAAAATAGGAGATTCCGTAGTTGCGTATTCCGTCGAATCACCACACCAAGAATATTTCTATCTTCCTGGTATCCCAGATCCCCGGTGGTCGAAATATTATTCCACAAGTGTGAGTATATTAGTCCAGCGTTTGCAGCTGAAATGTTTGTTCACGTTTAGTGTTAGCAGCAGTTAATTATAGCCAACCGGCGGTCA